GCTTGTAGCTCTGGATACTCGCAATGTATGCAAGGAGTGTGCTGCCTACGAAAGCGACACCGCCAAGCAAAAACTGCTAAAGCCGTGTAATAGCCGTTATTGTACCTAAAAGTCTATAACATTAGTTAGTCCCAGGTAAATAGCTCCGNAAAAGTCTGTCTTCAGAATCAAGGGTCATTCCTTTTGTCCCAGTTCATCCTCACAACGATGATTACCGTATTTATCCGTAAAACACCTGGCTTCAAGTAAGGCATGATAGCCAGCACAGTCAAAGAGTGCAGGGCCGCTCAGAAGGTTCCTTGACGCAGTTTTCTCGAATAATCTGTTGACTTGAGCTCGATTATTTACTTGACCGATAGCCAAAAAAGCGACGTCGACCTCAGATAGGCTGACGAGGTATTTTTGGAACCATCATGGACCTGGCGCTCCTAAATCCTCGATAGAACTACAAATATCACCGACAACAACACCCTATCAGTGAGCACGACTCGCGACAATGTTTGCCTCAAACCGCCCAAGCATAAGCTCACACAAACTGAACGGCTCTCTTTGACCACAATCATTTAAACTATTTTAGGCCGCTCCTGTGATGCAGTGCGTTCCTCAATGTCAGCCTTCATGCCAGCCTGCTTGCGTTGCGCAAGCGCAGACATACATACAACCGCCAGCCGTCGTAATGTGCTCTCAGCCAGCTGGACAGTGTGCTTGTAGCTCTGGATACTCGCAATGTATGCAAGGAGTGTGCTGCCTACGAAAGCGACACCGCCAAGCAAAAACTGCTAAAGCCGTTTAATAGCCGTTACTGTATCTAAAAGTCTTTACCTTTAGTTAGTCCCAGGTAAATAGCTCCGGTTGAGAGCAATAATGGCTACCCACGATTTAGCTCTCTGCTTTGCTCAAAATGAACTGTAACCTCATCGCATTGCGCTACATAGGTACATTCCCTATCAGGGCTTTCCAGTCAGTCGACAACTGCGTTTCATAACATCTGTCAGGGGTTCCCAGTTAGTCGACAAACGCGTTCCATAGTGTTGACAGGTTGACTGCCACACAACGCATTCTTCTGCTCAAATTATTTGTTGTTGATCCAGGATTTGGTAAAGAATCCGCATTTCCACATGTGCCTGGTTCTGTTTGGATATCAGTTGCTTCCCTGATATTATTATTAATATTAATAAATATTCGAACATAAAAGCATATGCACATGTACTGTATTTCCTCTTCTAACCCATCGAAAAGGATCTACTTTTGGTTTTACCACAGTCACAAACTGAGCTTCCAAAACATTAAAGGCACAGTTCACGATAATTTTGGGTAATCCAGATTATGATGAAAAATGGAAGACAAGATCGAAAATAGTGCCATGAAGGTGAGAAAACTGCGTGAATCGGTGTTTCTAAAGTGAAAAAAGGCTTCGAAAATCGTTAAAAAGGAGATGGACGAGAATGAGCCCAGAAAAATGAAGAAGAGTGGGGGTTTGGACGAGCTACACAGTGTGCCTCACTGCGTACGTGTGGGCCCTGGCGCGAATACCAGACTACGGTGAACGAAATTCATCCACTTATGAGCATAAGTAAACAAAAAACCCTAGTAACAGCAAAAGAAGCTCACCTTTTTCAGCCTCTAGGAGTAGGAAATTAAATGAGGAATCGAGGCAGCAAAAAGGATAACAGAGGAAAGAAGAATGGGAGGAAAGATCGCCTCATCACTCGGCGATCAGCTGATTGCGTGTGGGTCCTAGAGCGAATAGTTGCAATCTGTATTGTCTCGTCACTCGTCTGACGGGTCATCGATCGAGGTGTAGAAAATCGTGGCTTTCACGCCCCTCTGGTCATCGTAAACTGTGCCTTTAATGGCGAAAGCCGTCATGAATGAAGATAATTAAATATAATATTTTAGCATGGACAAATATAACACCCCTTCTTGAAGACAACTCTGTCGCTTTGCCAGAATGTAGATAATAAGGCTTAAAAAGGATCAACGGCTGCTACGTGGAAACACCCGTAATGTTGCTTCGGAATCAGTAACTGTCGAACAACGAAAAATCGAAATAATTTGGGGAAAACATTTGAAAACAAGTCGATTTTCGGTATGTCTAGGTTGATCAAAAAGTTTTGATATGGTTTCGAAAGCTCCTGATTTTTCGATTATCAATCGATACCAATGATGTACCATGTGGTAGTGGTAGAACATTCCGGGATCTTCTCCGTAATGAGAATATATAGGCGCGCTTCCTCCTTTAGCTTAAATCACGATGCCCATTCCATGAGATGTTCGATACATCATCTTCTACAAAGGGAGCATCGGACCGTAGCGACGGCAATCGTCCTCAACAGTATCACCCGATGTTGCCCCTCAGACCACCACTTCTTCCGGCCTCTCAAGGCTGTCCTAGCAGAAAATCAATTTATCAACTATGACCACCCTGAACAAGTGACTTCTTTGACTCCCAATTTTCCCAGATCTGAGAGAAGGAAACCGCTGAAATGCTCACTAGGTGGGACAATGTTATGACTAACTATGGTTATCATATTGTAGATTAGCTTGCATTGTTTGCTGAGTTGAAAAATAGAGTAGAAAAAAACTTACATTCAAATGAGGCGATTCGTGGTCGCCGCGAACTAGTAAACCCTTTGTTCACGTTGGTATAGCCCAGCTAACCATGCTTAACAAAAAAAAAAACGTCGTTCAACTTGTTTCTGTTTTGCTTAATAGAAACAAGTTGAGTGAANACTAATCGTGATCGATGTTGCGTAGTACCACTTCACACTGCTGATTCTTCTCACATGTGACGAAACCTTGATCTCTACGCCTAATGAGAACAATGTCCATTCGTTATTAGGTTTCACTGCTGTGGTAGGTAATGAGATGAGCCTGTTTCCGAAATATTGCGTTTACGGTGGTTGTCATGCGAGTCAATGTATTTAAGGGTTTGCTCACTAATGCCGTTACGTGACCCATTTCCAAATCTACCATGACGGCTGTAATTACTCCTCATAATGCCTAAAGACCCATTTAGGTTACCCGCGAGAATAATAGCTTCTTGTTTGGCACTTTTCTTGTTTTCTAATCAAGCAGGGTCCAGAACTCTTTCATTGTTCGCTCATAAAACTCAGTTTATGGAGCGTATGCAGAGAAAGAAGAATCAGCTTGCCTAAACTGCACATGTGGGCTGAAGTTTAACTCTGCCACTTTGAGTTTTTACAGACGAAATGTAATAACTACGCCATGCTGACCAAAGACGGTACAACCCTCTTATCGGTCACAAGTGACTACGTTGAATGCTCAGTTCACGATAGTTTTGGGGTATCCGTTATCCGGTTCTCAACGACTGATGGAACACTATGTATTCCCTTTATCTCCGATAAAGTCAGTGTTGCCATACAACACAGTATTTCCAAAGCTGGGCTGCAAGACATTATACAATTAGTGGATATTCCCAATAACAACATCAAGCAGATATTATTAAAGATCGAAACAGGCTCTACAACAAGCACTGCATAACAAAAGATTGCATCATATGTCCTTACGAAAAATAGGTGTGATCTACTAAATGGAATGCCGGCCATGTGGGTCAATGTATATTGGAGAAAGGGGGAGGCAACTAGCTATACGAATAAAAGAGCACCAAGCCAGTATGAGGCGCGACAGTTTGGTGATTGCACTTGGTAGGCATAAAACTGAGGAGCACAACAGCAACAACTTTAAAGTAAGGTGCAAGATACTGGCGCAGAAGTAGAAGATTTCAACGAGAAAGGCATTAGAGCCATTGGATTATTCAAAGGAATCCTAAAATGAACGGCAGGGATGAGTGCCCGTCCATAACCAACGATCTTTTGTCGTACATACCACACTGCGACTTGTGACTCAGTGGTATTATAAAGACCAAGATAGAACGATAAATTCGAATTGTGGGTTTTGTATTTGTCATCACATTCGCCAGAGGGGTGGTGGACGTCACTTTTTGGACACTGTGCAAATCATCTCGAATTGCTTTATGCTTTTGAAGAAGATGACAGCGTCGAAATGTTAGGCCGTTGATTTAATAAACTGTTCACTCTAACAGCTTCGCACATCACAAGAATATTTTAATTTTTAATGAAATATTCAGAAAACGCGAAAAACGGCGCATTGAAAGAGTTATAGGGCTCTCAATAAGTACCAAAATCGGTGATCGGACAAAAATGTTACCATAAAGTTGCAACGAAGGGGTATGTGGTGTCACTGAGTAAGGCTAACTACAGTAAGCCTAGAATGTTCAAGTGGTGATCCTTGCTTAGATTCTGCACTACTCCCTTATTTACTGCTTCTCTAACAGAAAGGTGTTTAGAACAAAATTAGTCACGAGCAGCAGTGGAATGAGAGAATAGTACAAAATACAATAACTTGCGCTACGATGACCAGCTGTTTGATTTTTCATCAAAGCTGCTCCAGTGCGTAGTTGGTATAAGGGGAGGGGCCACAAAATCATACTAGGGGAAATCCCAGAAATTAATTCCATACAATGTGCCTTTGAACAACTAACAAACCGACTCTTACGACTGACTTATTTTGGTGATGCCCACCGAACGATCATAAATGCCTAATCACATAAAATACTCTCATTACATACCTCCTATAGCGAAGATGGATTCACGGTAACCGAAAATTTACCCGAGGTTAGATTCCATAAACTCAGAAATGGAGTTGACGACAAATTGGCTTTTGAAATCCTCGTTAATCGAGGAACTAAAACCTTATTCACCTGTTTTGAAAAACTCTTTCAGTACTTTCTTTCGGGAAATGCTCCATTGGCTGCTTTCATAGTCCGCCGACCGGCCGACCGGCCGGCGGACTATGAAAGCAGCCATTGACGACTCTGCGCTCAACTAGTCTACAATCCTTCATACGGTCGTCATCAATAATCACTGAAACATCATCCGAACACTTTCATGAATTGTGTTGCACAAGAACAAATATTTATGACTTTTACTTATTATTACAACTTAAATAAATAAATAAATAGAGTTCCTATTTGAGAGTACACCTACATGACTAGAGCAACATTGTAACGCATACGGCATCAATTCTGAGGACTAAATGTTGACTACTATGGCTCGGCAAAGCAATTATACAGTAAATTCCTCAAACGATTTCCAACTATGGCTCAGCCTACTGATGATTTTCTCAGTTCCTGATGCACTACTCTCACCACCAATGATCATGTCAGACTTTGGCAGGACACAAAAAATACACGTGGTCGCAATGTCTGGCCTAGGCAGTACCGCCCGCAACCAGTTCGAACTAGATGTGTAAGTGCTAACAGGCGCCTCCGTGCAACTCGACAGCACCAATGTCCGTGTGGGCAAGCGTACGATAAAACGTATTTCACGGAAAACTCCGAAAACTGTACATAAACGTATGGCAGCATACAAAATGGTACAATTCAATCAGTGCTTAGGTGTGAATGCACGATAACTGACGAAATCAGATGTTGCATTCACAATACGAACGTCGGTACACGCTGCTGAAATGAAGACCACGCTGCCACGGTGTACCTCAAGATCCAGAGATCCAGCTATGAAATGAGCGCTGCCGCTGATAACAATAACGATGGAGCTGGCAGACTCTGCAGTGAGTTTTGCAGCCAACGCCTAAACATAGATATTGTGACACTTTTGAAATCCTATACCACTGCTCAAAACCACAGTTTAAATTATTTTGTGCTTCTTGTTTAAGAATATGTAGTGGTAGTCCAGAACAGAGCAATGTTTTGGAGAAAACGCGAAAATCGAAGTAGTTAGAGAAATATAAGCGTTCAAAAAAAGTAATGAAATTAGGGGTTCGACGAGAATGTAACGTCAAAAGTTGCATGGAAAGATTATTTGGGCGAGCTGTCCAAATGTGTGTTCCACTGCGGACAGCTGCCTACAGTAAGCTGCCTGCGTGCAACGCGTGCGTCCCGTTGCAAATGGTGCATACTCTATAGCCCTTACAATGCAGTAAGTCTCCCGCTTTGAGTGTGTACATTGGCTGAGCTTGTTCTGTTGTCCTTATTACGCTCTACCTATGCCGCTTTCCGACGTGAGAGCTGGAGTGCTCCCGAATGGAAAGTGCTTTCTTTGAAAACTGATTAACTCTGTGAAGTCGAGCGGTCATGATAGGCGGACGAATGGAGGTTGGAGGGCTAAAGCCAAAAATCTGCAAAACTGACAAAAAATGTCTGAGAATCAATGACTGGCGGAGGAATAGAAGTCAAATGTTGATTGTAAGGGAAGCCACAAGGCAGGCGGAGTCAAAAGTGAAATCGATGACATTGTTCGAAAACATGCTAGAGACCAAAAGAAAAGTGAAGAGGGACTAATATGAAAAAGAAACGAAAGACTCCAGGTTAGCAAAGTGCGTAGAATTGAAAATCCACAACTTTGATCGATATAGTCCAGAAAAAAGGATATGAATTAGAAAAAGGAAGAACAGTTCAGTTGCTCGGGGTGGTAGACACAGTGTGTACCCAGTAAGCGGGTCATGAAGTACAAGCTGAAAACTCTTGTTATCGTCTCGATAGATTTGACTCCGGAATTGATCGATAGAAATTAGTAAAGGAAGAGAGGTAGAGTGCTCATTGTAGAGGGACGAGTGCAAAAAGGATTGAGCGGAAAAAGCGCTGAGGCCAATAACCCATGTTAGATGCCCAAAACTGTAATCGATTATCACTGTAGGGTTCCGAAATTTCATGATGGCTAGGAAACAGAGGAGAATGGATAAAATGGAAACACAGAATTAGTTAAAAAATTGAGGTCGTTAAGAACTTCAAATATTATCAGACTCATTAACGTACTGCTGATAAAATAGGTACCGCAACACTTTCGTGATGCGGTGCAAATGATTAGTCAACTCCTGGATAATTATGACTACTTTCAAAGCTTGAGCAATTATAGTGGCTATAGTATCTCACTGGTGATCATATATTGACAGTTTAATCACGAGTTCAGGTAGGAAGAGGAATGATTTTGTATGGAAGGGTCGCAGTCACTACAAATTTTCATATCTTTTCATGATTCTTACTTCATAGTTTTTCTCCTCAGTGGCAGACTAGCTCAGTGGAACAATCCGAGAACACTCCGCTGCAGCAGTGGGAAAGGTGATATTGGATAAAGCGTGCGGTAGCGCTCAAAAGTATTCGGCGAAATGCTTCTTCAGTTACTCTTTTCATTCGCAACTTCTTTCCTACTTGAACTGATCATGCGAAATTTCAATATGTGTAGCATGGAAGTACTGTGAAAATTCACCATTATTAACCTGCAATCTGATCA